CGGGTAGGACAAAGTCTCGCTACGCGCGAAGAAGTCCCGCATACTCAGCGGGCCGGTACGTCGGATAGCCCGGGTGCCGTAACACTTCTAGCTGAGCAGCCTCTGCGCTCGGTGACCTGTAAAAGCGCTCGCGCGCCGTCGTCCATCCTTTGGTGGAGGGCACAGGGTTGTGAACGAGCTCAGCCGAACCAAACTCGGCGGAGCCTCGGAAGTGATCTGACTTGGTTAGTCCGCTCTGTTGCACATTTAGTCGGTATTTATACAGTACATGTACCGGTAATACGGAAAGCTTGCCATTCAAAAATGTAAGCGGAATTCAGGCCATTTAAGTAGTGCAGTAGTTGATGCGTGAGGGCGGCCGGGGAACACGGGTTCGTGGCGCAATACAATGTATATCGCCTGGAGTGAGGTCCCGATATATGGTCAATATATCCATCACCTCCTCGTCATCGCTGGAGTCTCCATCACTGTCCAGGTGAGCTTCTAATGCACGTTGAAGCAAAGTCTCGACTGCGACCAGGACACTGCTTCTCTTGCTTTTCCTTGGCATCTTGGCAGTGAGATCCTTCTTCCAAAGGGCACGTCGTCGTCTGAACTCGAATCTGCAAAGGTGTCAAAGATCCGGTCATTTTATTGGTAGAAATATGCTTCTGAATTCGACGTCTGTCTGCAAGTCTGACTACCACTATTATAATAACGTCAGTAAACTCCGAGCCTCGGAGTTTCCGAGGTTCGCCGTGCTCACCGATATGACGATACCGAGAAGCAACCCAATGTAGCACACACTGGCTCGTCGAAGTGAGTCAGGCAGTCTGTAGCTCTAGGGTCACAGGATGCTCCGCTCGAAAATGATGCATGAATGGAGCTCGTCACTTTACTGTACAGACTGGAGGCAGTCACCGCACTCATCTCGCGTTGACAGGGAGCAGTGCTTCAAGTCCACCCTTGCTCTTTTTGAAGCGGAAAGGCAAAGACCATTTGCTCTGAAACATGACAGCAAGCTGTGGGTACACTGTACACTGTACAGTACCTAAGGAAATTGCCTGTTAATAGTTTATTACATGTACTTTTATTTACCATATTATTAGGTATGCTAGAGAATCCCTTCCAGTGACATCCCGATGCGGGCGCCAACACTTTCCCTCTCACTTCTGTGGCTGGATGGACTATTCAACGAGCTCCACGCGCGATTGCGGCAGCTTCACACTTTGCGTCTCGTCTCCTCGAGCAGGTCACCGATCATGGACTCCTGTCGGATGAGCGCGCTCTCCATCATAGCCATCGTGGTCCTCGAACGCTACCCAAACACGCCTAACGAAGGCAGCTACAAAGTCGACGTACGTGTCGTACCGATGGATCTTGTTGTCATCGCCAAAGTAGAACGTGTTCCCCACTGGGTATTCGAGCTGCTTGCCAATGAGGCGCTGGGACAAGTGGTTCATTCCAAAGCACGTGGGGGAGATTTTTCTCGATAGTGCGCCGCGTAAAGCGTACGTGAAGCGTGGCGGGCGCGAGCACCACCGGGTTCGGCTCTGCTGCCATGATTTGCAGGTTCTTGACTTCGTACTTGAGCCCCGCATGATATAACGAGTACTTTTGCCACTGATCCAGCAGCTCCCGTACCCCGTAGGAGCTGCCAAAGACAACATTCGGGTGCATGAGCCCGTTCAGGAAACCAATCTGTCGGGACGAGAGCACCAATTGGTCCTGTGGCACGTTCATCAAGTCCTGTTCGGCCACTGGTACACCGTATTTGAAGAGTGAAAAGTACTCGTTCACAACGGTGGCGAACGACCCGCCAATGGGCTGTCGCGTGAGAGGCCATTTGGTTGCAGTTTGTTGCTGTAGTGAGCGCCCGTGAAGACTAAGTTGGTCCACCTCCTTCTTGAGCTCCTCCACTTGCTCCTCCAGCGTCTGCACGTAATTCTTCCAGCGTGAGCGATAGAGTTTGCCCCGCTCGCTATTGGATAGACGACGCGAGCGCTTCTTAGACGATAATTTGCCAGTCACACCGACATTGGCACTAATATTAAAAGTTGTAGGAGGCTCGGTACCGATGCCGCTGCTGGCGTGACGAACGGGGGCAAGCGGCGGCAGGGACGGACCCGCAGCGACGACGCGACTCTCGATCTCGGCGTCGGCGCTGCAGAGCGCGTTGATGTCCATTCGGCGGTCGTGCAAGCTCATAGCGGGATCTAAGAGCTTGCTCTATTATAATGTACCCGGTTTCGAGA